GTCCCCCTCCCCCTGTTCGGAGACCGGCAGCAGGAGTGCTGGGGGCCCTGGGGGGTCCTGCCCGGGCCAGAGGAAGGTGAGAGGGGAGCTGAGCAGTGCGCATCAGTAGCTAAAGGGCGGGGGGCAAGAGGATGGGTCCAGGCTCCTGTCAGTGGTGCCCAGTGACAAGACAAAGGGCACAAACGGGGGGGACAAGAGGCTCCATCTGAACACACGGAGAAACTTCTTTCTTTGAGGGTGACAGAACCATGGAGCAGGCTCAAAATCTGCCTGGATGTGTTCCTGTGCAACCTGCTCTTGGGGACCCTGCTGTAGCAGGGGCATTGGACTCGGTGATGTCCAGAGGTCCGCTCCAACCTCAACCATTGATTCTTTGATCCTTTCTTTTTGCAAGGTAGCAACCCTCCCTCCTACAGGATAGCACCTCCTCTTCTTGTGGGGCAGCATCCCTGCTCGTGGGGCAGGATCCCTCTCCCTGTTGCCCTTTCTTCCCCTCCCAGTTTGTGCACAGCAGCAGCAGAGGCACGAACCACACTCAAGGCAAAGGTCTTCCTAGGCACAGAGCTGTGGTTTTCAGGTTGGATCCCAATGGCAGCCAGATGGGCTGTCAAAGAACGGGCACACACACCCCAGAGGAAGGGAGAGCAGGCACTGGCAGATCCTGCATTTGCCTGGCCATGTGGGAAGGGAGGTGGTCTCACTCTTCGGTTTTTTGGTTCCATCTGTAACCCTTTGCAGCTTTAGGCATGCACTACTTGGGTTACTGCAGGAGCTACACCTTCAGAGTTGACAGTAAGGACAGCTAGTTCTGAGTTTTAAACTAATCCTTGCTCAAAATGAGGGCACCCTCCCCTATAAAGACAGGCTGAGAGAGTTGGGCTTGTTCAGCCTGGAGAAGAGAAGGCTCTGGAGAGATCTTATTGCAGCCTTCCAGTACCTAAAAGGGGCCTACAGGAAAGGTGGGACAGATTCCTCGTCAGGGAGTGTAGTGATGTAGTGAGGGGTTTACAGTTTCAAATTGAAAGAGGGTGGATTTAGAAAAGAGATTAAGAAGAAGTGCTTCACTGTGAGGGTGGGGAGGCACCGGAGAGGCTGTGGGTGCCCCCGCCCTTGGAGTGTCCAAGGTTGGCCAGGGCTAGAGTCAGAGTTTTGGGCAGAGTGTAGCAGAAGGTGTCTCTGAACATGGCGGGCATGGGGTGGGAGTGGAACTAGATGATCTTCAGGGTCCCTTCTAACCCAAACCATTCTATTCTATAAAATACCAAAGTACTTCTTTTATATGAGCCTTTTTTCTCCAAAGCAGCTGAGATCTGACTTTAAAAAAAATTGCATCTCCAGCTGTTATGATTGCTGGGAGGGCCCCTGGAAAAAGGACTATCGTGTGCAGCTGATGAACTACACACCACTACAGCCTGAGATGCCTGAACGTCCCCATTCATCTCTGCAGGGAGCTGCCTCACGCCCACAAACATTTTAAGGACATTAACTGCTTCACAGCATGTTTGCACATAAGAAACAAGGCGAAGCAGCACACTTTGAACCTGCAAGTGGCTTCCAGTGTAGGCCAGCCTTAGAAAAATACACATGGCCTTCCCCCCGCTTAGCTTCTTCATGGGAAAAAAGGCACAAAATGAGTTTGGTGGGCTGAAACGTCAGCCAGTAGGGCAGAAAGGCAGATGGAGCAACCACGAGGAATTGCCTTTTTAAAAGCTCCCCTAACGAGATGTTTGCTTGCACTGACTCAGGTTAATAACCTTCATTTGGAAATGGCTTCTCTGCCCAGGGTGGGGGGTGGGTTCTTCGTGAAAGCCAGGCAAGGCCCCTGGGGGCGAGGAGCTGCTCCCTCCCTGCAGCGGGAGGAGGAGAGCAGGCAGCAATAACCAGGATGGCTCCGGTCTGCCTGCTGCCGCAGGGGTGGCATGATGGGGGCAGGTGCAATTCCCTTCCTCAACACCTCACACAGAATTCAATCATTCCCGCTGCTCCAGGGGAAGATGGTAGCACCAAAGGCTGTGGTGCAAGGGAGTTAAATAACAGGCTCTGCAGCAGGTCAGAAAGATCTCAGGCTGGCTGTAGGCTCTGGTTTTCTTTGAGCCCCCACTGAAATGCAGGTGGTGTGCAGCAAGCCAGCTAACCAACACTTCTCTCCTTTTCCTTTTGTCCCTAGCATCAGTAAAAAAAACCCAGATCTGTGTTATTTCTCACAGGACGTGATGCAGGGCTCACTACAGTGTAACTGAGGGAACAGACGGCCATAACATGAGCTAAGGGCCCACAGAGATAACTCAGAGAACAAATTTGTATATAATTAGTTTTTTCTCCAGGCAACGGGAAAAGAAGACAACCTTCTAATATTCAGTTAGAAGAAATTAAGTGGCATTTGTATCCTGTTTGATAGGGCAAGAACTAGCTGGCATACTTAGTTGCAAAGGAAAGAGTCAAGGAAAAACAACCTATGTATGCATCAGAGTAGGGACACCTGAGAGCTCACACCCCAATGGGTTGAAAGTGCAGGTTAGAAAACCATTCCTCACTAATCTCTAGAGGTGCTCGGGGCTCTGTTTTGGCCCTGATGCTTTGCTGCCACCCATCCCACCGTGCATAGCAAACCCTTAAACAGTTGCACACTTGAGCTGCTGCTTTGCCTCACTGCAGGAGATGGACTAGCAACCTCTTGAACCATCTCCCTCAAGCACACATCTGTGATCTCATGCTAAACTAAAAGGAGGCTAATCTTAGCATAAATTTGCACTTATCCCATCTTTCATAAGCACGAAATGAAGGTGGAACACAGAGCACCCGCAGGAAAGCAGTGCAGCAGAGAAGATTAAATGTAGGAACTGACAGCAGACTTGGCAGCGTCAGCTCTGGCAGCTTCCAAGGGAAGGAGCAGGTGAGGCACCTCCAGCCAGGCAGGGGGTCTGGACAGTGACTGGGGAACAGCCCTTCTGACCCCCTGCACG